ACAGTAGTCCTTTAGATTTCCTTATGGATCTTAAGTCTTTCTAAGATCTTCTCCCCAGTGCTGTGCAAGGCCAGCTCTTACCCGAAGTCCTGATTTCTGTTCTGTAACTCTTAGGTAAAGCCTTCCTTTCTCTATGGCATAATTCTGCTTTATGATCTGACAAGTTCCCGTGTTCACCAATTTCATATTTACTGGACAACATGCAGATGAGTCTGTCTACGTTTAAGTACATCCCTTCTGCATTTAAAGTGACTTCCTTAATCATTACTAGGCTTCCTGTGTATCTAATGTCGTCCTCAAACATATCTTAGTGGACCATTTGTACTGAGGATCCTGAGCTATACTCTCAAGCCTGACGATTTGGGTTTCATTCCAACAGGACTGCAGTTTGCAAGTTCACAGGGTAAAGAGGAAGGACTTAATGCACTATTCTGTAACAGTGCATTGCCTTACAGTTGTGCAAAAGTTTGGGGTGTATCTGAGAGTATAGTTGAGTCTTTTTTGGTTTTTTACATGTCTAGCCATGAAAAGGACAGACAATTAAACTGCTGCCATGAGAAATTTTGCAAGCGTTTCCTATTTAAATAATGTGAGCTCTTGTCTGTGCTAGTTTTCCTCTTAAGTATACAAACTCTTTTCAGGGGAGACGAGAGTTCATTTAGTTGTCCCAGCATTATCTCTGTAGTAAACTTGGTGGCCTGTGGAGAACGTTTTATCCCCCGCTACCACCCGTGGGGGCTCTCAAAAGAAAGGCTGTTTAACAGCTGTCCTAGTTGCTTAGGCTTGGTAACAGCTTCTCTCAGTTTGCTCATCATCATCGCAAGTTCTCGTGGTGGTTCCTCCCGAAGTCGTTTTAAGCTGTTAGTAGCGGAGAGTGTAAGTCCTGAAGGAAAAAAGATGCTGTAGAGATGAAAAGATTGCTTTGCCAGTCTTAATTGGACTACATTTTGGGTTATTTCAGAGGTAATCTGGATAAAGCCATTGAAATGTTCAACAAAGCTATCAACCTGGCCAAATCTGAAATGGAGATGGCCCACCTCTACTCACTCTGTGATGCTGCCTATGCCCAGACGGAAGTTGCAAAGAAGTATGGATTGAAACCACCAACACTGTAAAGAAACGAGGAGGAAATGACCGTCTAAAGTGAAGTTGCCCACTTCAGCCAGCCCTAAAGACGCTGTTGCAGACCATGTTGAATGGTGGAACTTAGTTTTTTCCCGTTCGTGGTGTTGTCATTTGCTACATCTGTTAAATGTTTAGGTGTTGTGGGAGTGGTTGTTCAAGGAAGTATGCAGTGTTGCATCTTGTTCCTTCTGCAGCAAAAACCTTAAAGCAGCGTGTTAAGGGAAATTAAAGTTGCAGGGGAACAAAGGGAAGATATTTTGGCCATGCAAATAAAAACTTCACACTGGTTCATTTTGGGTGATTATGTTGTGGGCGATTTTTGCTTTATCAAACAATATTACAGCATGTGGGGTTTTTTTCCTGTTGATTTTAAAGGTAATACTAGTCAGTGCTGTAAAATAGGTTTCTTTTTTATATGCAATTAATCCTTGAGGGTTGATTTTAATTTTGCAAAAAGGAAAAAATTAATTTTCAAACTGTTTAATAATAGAGGGTTTTTTTTAAGTCGGTAGATGTGGAGCGAATCCCTGTAAATATATGCAAGCATGCACAATCTTCCCTTAAAGCCCCTCCCACCCTCTGCATAACTTACTTAGAAATAGTCCTGTGGCAGCTATTAGGGAATTAATTTGATAGTCCTTATCCTCATCCCAGAAAGCCCTAGCGTACTGTATAGGAGAGCTAGTAAAGAGGTCGGCTGGGGAAAGAGGCCAGGTAACACTGCTTCAGTGTAGGTTTTACTGGAAGAAAGGCCGTGTTCCTGTGCAGCAGTCCTTACTTGAATGTCACAGGAAATTGTTCTGGAGGGTTCAGAGGGACTTTGAGGAACAGAAGGCATTGCTGGGAGTAGAGCTGCCAAGGTAAGGTCATGCTTGCATATAATCTTTGTACAATCTCTGACGCTCTTGCTTAAATGTAACAGCTAAAAGACAGTCTAAATTCTCTTCAGTCTCTAGACACTGCTGTGTTCTGATCTGCTCCTTGTAATTGCCCCTTTGCAGGATTAAGTGAGATAAGGAACAAAGCGTAGGCTAAAACTTCAAGTAACGGGTTTAGAATCTGTACTGGTTTCCTTGTTCTTTAGACCCTGTCTTGTCCAAGATTACAAATACTGTAGAAAGGAAGCAACCGTTCTGCAAACAGGAGACTGGCAAGTTATTAAATACTAGTATAAACTGTCATCTTCTAGCTAGGAACTTCACAGAGGGCTCTCTTGCTTTGGGTTGATCTTTCCGGTATGGAAGTCGGTCAGTCCATCTCGCCTCTCCCTGGATTGATGTGGCTGGATAAAGCTCATGCAGATACTTAACTGATGTAGCTTAATTTACCATACACTAATTTGGGCTGCTTCCCATCCTGAAATCATAGATTTGCTTGTGCTGAATTGTCTAATGTATTTCATCTTTTAAAGAACTGAACCATGCTGTGGTCAAACTGTCTTGTTCTCTAGTTGTGCCACCATATAGTAGCAGCAGCTTGTATTTTCAACTTGACCTTCCTTTCTCCCAGCAACCACAGTTGAGAATTCAAATGGTGGAGAGCAGACATACAGACTTAATCATTCTATTTTAGCTAGCTCAGTAGGTGATCTGAAATCATAGCGTTGGTGTAGAATTGAAGGCATTGGAAAGTACTGGCAGCTTCTAAGGGTGCTGCACATAGCAAGTGTCAAATGTCTTCTGGAACTTCCAATCTCTCCGTCAATTACCTGAGAACAAAAATATGCCAAGCTGACTGATGCGTCCTGGTCTCCTGAGGAGTTTTTATTCGCATGGCCTTACTTACACTGGCATTTTCTCCTCTTCACCCTACCTGTACCCCATTCCTTACCCCACCCAATCAATTAAGGGAAAAAAGCATGTGCTGTTGAATACTAGCATTCCAAATCATCGCAGACGTTTGCCTGTTCTTGAACTAGTTTGAAACTGCACTGAAAGGATGCATTGTCTGTAATTTTTTTTGTAAATGACGTATCACTTGTAAACTGAAAAAATAAATATTACCTTCAAGTATCTCTCTCTGACATGCATAAGAACAGGTTTTGATGAAAGCGTTCTCTGCAGTGGTGCTCTGTGCTTACTGAGGTTGCTCTGAATCTAGGAAGAGCTAATAATGACTGCCTCCCTGTCATCTTCTCTCACTTCAAGAAAAAATGAGGAGACATGGAATTAACGAGTCTTGTCTCTGATTGCTTCTGTCACCCACAGAGGTACGGTCTTGAGAGCTGCAGATCACAGGGGAAAGGAAATCCAGCCAGGAAAGCTGGGAATCTGCGTAGCTGACACCCTGTTAATGTGTGTATGCAGGTGGATCCCTTTAGTGAAAGGCATATTTTCTTTTTTTTTTTTTAAATGTCTGATATAGTTGAGGTTTTGCTTTAAGCCAGGTGTGGATGTGAACTTTGAGAAAAGCTTTCTGTAGTAGGGATTGAGAGCTGAAGTGAAACAAGTATTGCTGCTATTTAAAAAAAATCAATCATCTGTTGAGATAACGTAGGAAGCTAGTAGTGAAGACTTGGATAAACCTGGCGTATCCTAGAGACTCTGGGAGGCTGCTTCTACACATAGTTGTCTTGCATCGTAATTCTGATCATGTAAAATCCCTGTTGTTTGTGTTAAGAGACAAGTTTGCTAAAATGGAGATTAGGAGTTGTGCCTTGAATTACTAGGACCTAATTGCAGATTGAAAGTGAAGAGGGGAACTAACATATACTAAGGAGCTGTACTGTAACTTAACTCTGCAACTATTAGGAGCGGCTTAGATGCAGCTTTAACCAGGCTTCCCAGCTGCAGTGGTAATAACGCTGTCCGGTACAACAGGCATGACAGTTCTTTTTAAGGAAATGGTAGAAAACATAAATTCTTGCAGGCTGAAATTCTGGAGCTCTTTCAGGGCTGTTACTGGCTGGTTTTCTATACTCACAGAATACTGGTGCGTATGTATAATACGGATACTTAAAGTGCCTGTTTTCTACCAACACAGAGATTGAGTATTGACCGCTTTAAGTATTCTCTGAGAACTGTGTACTTTTTTCAGTGAAACCCCCCAAAATTCACAGTCCCATTTGTATCACTTCTGAGTGGATCGCACTGGAGACCCCTAAAACATCCTACTAAAACAAGGTGCTTAGAAGTTGTCCTGACAGACTGAAGAGGACAGAACTCCTATCACCTCTTCAGCCGAGTCCACCGAAGTAGCTCACTACAGATTTTCATCTGTTCTCTCCATTTGGGATTCCAGGGGAGGCGGTTCCAGGCCACGGATACTGTTGTCTGTTGCAGACTGCACTTTGCATTTTTAAAATTAAGTGGTCAGCCCACGAGAATCCTGCACTGCTTTAATCCTCCAAAGGTAGTATTTAGTTCCTGCTCTGCTGCATGTTAAACTAGTATAGGGAGGGGAGGGCAAGAGACAGAGTAGTTTAGTGTAGAAAAATGGATGTATAATAGTGGCTGTGATTTAGAAGCTGGAGCTGTGACAGCCATCAGGGATGCCGACTGTTGAATATGTGGGAGGCACTACTCGTGCAGGAGACTTGACTCAAATGGTAAATTGTTAATTTTTTTATATTTATTTTTCAAGAAATAAATCTTCATTTCACCTTATGCTCTGTGGCTTGTTTCTTAAGAGTTCCAGTACAGTATGTACACCAAAATGCAGTGAAAAGTACAGACTAAAAAATGCCTGCTGGAATAGATAATGCCACTGAGTGGAATGGTGTGACCTGTCTTCTGAGAGGAAAGGCGCCTCGGGGTTTGGCTTCATTTAACCATTAATTTTCCCCTATAAAACACATGCCTAGCTCATTCCAGAGAAGCCAAAAGAACATTAAAAAAAAAAAGCCGAGAGAGCAGCTGTGGGAAGAGGAGGGTGGCTAAACACGAATAAAAAGGTAAAGTGGTTTTGGGGGAAACTGGTGGCTAGCTAGACCAAGACAAAAACCTCTCCTCCCATTTTTGTATTTTGAAATCTCCTTTAGCCTTATTGCTTTATCATTTTTGCTTCTGGAAAACTAAAAGCCTAGTGGTAAAGGCTGGATAGTTACAGTTGCTTCTGATTTTCATCCCAAGAAGGAAAAAAAAAATGCCATTTGCAAATTCTTAGCTTTTTACATTAGAAATACAAAAGTGTCTTCCTTCTCAGAAAAAAAAAACCCAAGATGACTACACAATGTTAGGCTGGTTTTAAGTATTTTAAAGCCATCTTTAATAATCGGCTTGTTAGTGTCTTACTTATTGCTCTTGCTGAAGGACTGTTTCCCTTGCAGCCGATGGGAGTTGGCCTTTGGTAGCAGTAATGCATTTAAACACTGAGCAATTCTAGTACCTGTCTTCTGGGAGACTGTGGGCAGAAAGACTTAATCGGTGCAACAAGTTTTCTAACCCTTTTGACTGCCTCCTCTCAGTCTTTTCAGGGGAGGACTGCCAGGCAGCAGAACTGAAGCCCGTTCAGACACTGTATTAAGGAAGCAGTGGATAGCGCAAAGGGGTGGCGACATGTGAATTGCTTTAACAAAACAGTAACCTGCATCACTTCAGCAATAAACAGGAATTGCAGTAAGGAGAAGTTAATACATATATTTCAGGCAAGACACACGAACCAAAACCTGTTACAGATTCTACTGCAGTAGTAGTTCTGTCTGGCAGCTTCTTGCATTGTCCCTAAGTAGTACAGAGCAGAATTTGGCCTGTTTTGCTTAGCGTGTTAAATTTTGAGCTTTCCAAGTTAGAAGTTGAGCATTCAATGAGCTTTGTTGAGGCACACACAACTAAGAAGGACAGAAGTGGAAGAATCATGCTTCTGGATTATCTCGTAATTCACTGAAAAATTCATAATACCAAAGCTGACTTCAGCAAATTTCCAGAGAGAACAAAGTTCCCATTTTTATGTTCTACAAAAAAAGCCCCAAAAAGGTAACTAAAACACTGTGATGCATAAAAAGCAATGTTAACTACTACTGTGTTGAACTGATTCCAGCTCCATCTTAATCCTAGCTGTAAAATACTATAAAATACTGAAGTATGAGAGGAGATATAAAAGCGGTACTTGAATCAATTTTAGAATTACACCACCAAGTTGTTTTTTAAATTAACTGGCACATCTAGCAGTAGCTTCTGGAGCAACTAGTAAGGGAATCCTTCCGAAGATGAAAGCGGCAGCCATTGTGCCAACTGAACCTTCCCAGTTCACCCAGCTTCACTTTTTCATCTCTCTGCCATAGAGATCACAACGCTTCTGGCTTAAAATAGGAATTTGTTGACGTACTTCTGCGAGTTTCTTCAGATCTGCAGGAGGGGAAGAAAGAGCTATTAGAACAGCAGTCAAAAAGGAAAGCTCCTGACTTGCTCTGAGGCAAGGCAGGGAAAAGAGCAGCCTTCATGGAGAATGGGTCTGTAGGGCACGGCAACTGGGCAGCCAGGGCTGAAGGAAGCCTCAGCTTTGCTCTTTCCTAAGGTGGCAGCTTCCTCACAAGTACGGCAACGGGAAGAGTACAGTCAAGCGCTGCTTGTTCTTGCTTTAATCTAGCAAAGGTGGAGAAGGGATGGGAACACTCCATCATCTGTAATTGCACGTGCAAGCCCACAGACTTAAAAAATTCTCTCTCCTTAGTCTCATGACCCATATTCAAGAAAGCAAGCAAGAAAAAAAAACCCAAACCCCCAAACTTTACCCTTACCTATATCTGTGTATATAACTGTTTCCTCAGCCCCAGCTTTGGCTATGACTTCACCCCTGCAAAATTAAGCACATTTGTTCACAGCATTAACCCAGAGGTCTCAAGGTACCAGTCCAGTTGCTGCTGTTTGTACAAAAGGGAGTTCCTACCCTTGATGTCTACAGCTGTAAAGACAGGGCCATCCTAAAAATAGCATCATAATTCATAACTCTGGCATGATAGAAATGGCTTCCAGGCTTTATATGTGGCACATTTTATGTGTGACATACATAATGTAAGTATGTTTCTGAAGATCAAGAATCATGGTAAGAGCAACTATGAGAACCAGTGCCTGTGAGCATGCAACATACCTCAAGGGGAAAGAAACAACTTCACCAGGGACAACCGTATATGGCAAAGCCTAACACTTGCTCCTTTCAGATTCTACTGGCTTTTAATAGGAGTATACTTTTACTCCGCATGAGCTACTGGACATTATTTATCATGTCTCCCACTATATGATGAAAGCAGTGACAGAACACCTAAAGTTAAAAGCTCAAGACATAAGATAAAGCTTTTCTTACTTTGCAATCATCTGGAAGAGACCTATCAGTGGATTTATTTGAAAGAAAGTAACTGCCTGAAGATTTGGTCACTTTTACCTGCTGTGCACCTGCATTGCTTCTGCTTAAGCTGGACATTGTTTATCATGTCTCCCACTAGGTGTTCGGTCACTGCTTTCATCATATAAAGTTAAAAGCTCAAGACATAAGATAAAGCTTTTCTTACTTTGCAATCATCTGGAAGAGACCTATCAGTGGATTTATTTGAAAGAAAGTAACTGCCTGAAGATTTGGTCACTTTTACCTGCTGTGCACCTGCATTGCTTCTGCTTAAGTCAGAATGTGTCTCTTATCTAGCTGAAGACATTCTTCTCGTTCTTTCTCATGTCAAAGCAGTGTTGTTCTCTGAGTAAATGAAGTAGCTTTGTGTAAGCTGCTTAAGATGGTTCAGTTCTGCACAGAGAACTACCATAATGCATAGTATATAATGGACTGAACTTCAGGGACAAGTTGGAAAGGTCAGCAGCTTAACTAATGCTAAATACTTGTACTAAGTAGCTGCTTTGCTGCCAAAAAGAATACATACTGTTCAACCAGTTTTAATTTCTTTCTTGGTTTTCAGTCAGACAGTTTTAAAGAACATAGGCTTAAGTCTCAGATGCTTTTTACCAAGAACTTATGACATTTTTAAGAGTAGATGGAAATGCGGGACTGAAATGTGACTGTCAAGTAAAACATTTTTTAAGCAAGAAAAGGTGGGGTTCGGGTTTTTTTCTGAACTCACCATGGATTTACTACAGTGCTGTGTCCCCAGGCAACATAGGATGCTTTTTCGTCTCTAGCAGGAGATACAGTAGCTACGTAGACTTGATTATCAACAGCTCTGCGTTCACAGAAAGGTGAGGGAAGGGGGGGGAAAAGGTGAGTAGAATTTCTTTTTCATACCACCAGTTAACTAAGCAGAAGAGAAAGAATTCACTCTGAAGGACAAGCTATATATCCTCCTAAGGACTAGCCAAAATTGTAAAGGATATGAGGGTCAGACAAAGCAAAGCCTGGAAAGAGAAGTCTCTAGCACCTGCTCCAGAGTTAGTGGGTACAATGAATTACATGTTCATTCAGTATGCAGCGAAGTTGACTGAAGCTGACCAAATGAATGAATAATACTGCATTTAGGAGTCTCGGGGTCTATTCCTATCTGTAATTAGAGCAGTTCTCAAATGGTTATTGGCTCTTCTGTCTAGAAGTTTGTGTGTGAAGGGTGCTGACAGAGCCATGGGGAAAAGGTCCTTGAAAGGGCGTAACTGCGGAGGGGCTGACAGGAGCGAAGGTTAAGCATTTCCTGCTTTTCTCCTTGACAGCAAAATCATTCTGGTGTCCCATGCAAGGCTTGAGGAATGGTGCAGCTCCAATCGCAGAGTGGCCCTGCAGCACCGCTTCTGATGCATAGTGTCATTTGGAACACAGGAACAGTTCAGTTCCACATGCTACACCTCCCTCTGGAACAGGAGGGTAAGCTGTTACTTTGTTCTTACCGTCCCCTTTGTAGCAGTTCCCAATGAGCTGGTCCTGTTGTCAGGTTAAAAGCCCCTGGATATATCAGCAGCTGGCAACCTTTGTTAAAAGAAAATTAGAACCCAGCCATCACTAAGGGGAAGATAGTTCACCCTAGAGCGGCCCTTCACATTGAGACCCAAGGCGAGGTTTCTTTCAGTACTCCCCGACCTCTGCCCAAAATGGAACCAAACAGAGCCTGTCCAGGCATGACACGGGTGATTACTTATGTCAGCAAAGCCCTGTGATACATTATCAAGTGTGGGGACACACCCATCTCCATCACTCCATCAACAAATGTGTATCAGGAACTGCTTGTTACTTCACTCAAGGAGAACAGACACTCATTTGAATAACAAAGTCGTGGCCACAAGCTGCATTTTGTGTTACTGGGCGAGGATGAGAGTGCCTGATCTCACAGACTGCCCAGTAGGTACCAGCCTGAAAACAGCCCTGCGTAGTTCAGGCCTTAGGGCTAACCATGCTCTCCATTAGGTGACCCAGCCTCACCTTTCTGTCCGTAGATTTGAGCCATCTCAGCAAATCTGATATCATAGCAGATGCCCAGGCCCACTTTACAGTATGCTGTTCTCAGAAGACAAGAGACAACAGTCATATCGCTACCACAAGTACACAAAGGCAATCACAAGACTCGCTGTAGCCATCCTGCCAGCTGTTATTTCATATGTCTCACAGTAACAAGAAAAGCTATATTTAAATGCGTATCCTTATCGGTAACAAGCATTGGCTATTTGTAGGGGAGAATTCATGCTTCATGATGAGAGGAAGACTGTGAGAAGCAGTCTTATCTACCCTTTAAAAACAGCCATTTCCACAAAAACATATTATATCAGGTCTTCGTGTAATGTATTCCTCCCTGATTTAGCTGCAGGTTTTTCAATTATTTTATTTTCAAGAGAAGAAAGCACTCACTGCTTCATGACTACCATCATGTACTTTCTTACAGCACGCACATCGCAAGGAGGAAAAAGCGACCATGGGAGACGAGACTCTTCGGAGAGCTCGGTAAACAGGACATGTTAATTTCTGAACACTGGAGGGAGCGGGGGGAGAGTAGGTGTCTTGCTTTTTTATCTGATGTGGTTGATTTAAGAATGTTGGAACGGGATTTACAGTTAAGTGCCTCCATTATTATATCCTCCTCACATGAAACAATGTGCCAGTGTAGCTGTTTGCTACACATATTCTTTTCCAAGCCACGTTTTATAAGAACCATTTTAAAGATGTAACTGCTATTAAAAAAACACAGTAACTTCTCTTTAACAAATCAATAGGACCCCTATTTAAGGGAAGTGCCATGATGTATGCTTCAACCCTTTCCACTCCTCCGTCCTTTTGCAATCACATTGCCTTTTTAAAAGTTTCAGAAGTGACCCGCGCGCTTGGAACAAACTTAAACCATATTTGCCATATGCCTAATATAAATCCGATAGTCTAAAAATCCATTGCTGGGAAGAGAACTCCAGAATGACTGCAGTGTTACTGTGGCAGAGCTCCTTAAAGAGAGGGCTTGTCTTATACTCACGAGTATCAAACATGGAGAAACTATTCCCTGGACTCAGCGTTTCAGACTCTTTGAACTGTATCTTCCCCGGAATATTAATGTCAAACAAATGAACCTGTAATTATAGTACGATTAATAACAATAACAATTTCTCTGCTTGGTATTTGAGCCTCTTTCTATTAGGCACGTGTTTTCTAGTTACTGTTATCTAGACTACTCTTTTGTCAGGATCCCAACTAAACATTGCTTAAGATTGTGAGATCTCCTAAAGATGATGTAAAGCAATTTTTCTTCTTTAGAGAAATATACATGTCTAAAGTTATTCCGGGGGAGGGGGAAGACTGGCCATTTTAAACAACACATATAATCCCTGTGACCCAAGTGATGCATATATCAAACATTTGTATTGCTTACCAAATAGAACGCCCTGTCCTTCTCCTATACAGTAATGGAGAGTAGTTAAAAATAGCTAAAAATATAACAATTAATTTGTAGTATGGCTCTGTATCTTCTTCGTGGAAAGAATCCTTGCAAAATAGCTAGATACCTTGATCTAATGAGTAATTTTGCAAAAGAAAGGATACATATAAAATGTCTTGAATTTGTCAGGATGATTTTAAAGTATGTTAAAGCAGGTGATATTTTCCATTCTAAAATTTGAGTCCCATTCCAGCAAAACTTCTCCAGAAAATACCTTTGCCAAGACATAAAGTTCCCATGACTTCAGCTATGCAGATGCCTCTTAGCCGCTGCGGACAGTCTCTATCCCTCCCTTGCAACGGAAGATTCTGTTCCTGACCGGAGCTTCCTAATAACACAGCTGTTTTTGTATTATTATTCATTCATATTTACACAGTACAAGCCTGCACTCATTCTACAAACAACTACCGGGCTTGCGGACTGGTGTGGTATGATAGATGGAAGGCAACACAGTACTTCAGAAAGTGAACTAAGTGTAGCTAAGCGTAGAATCAGTTAACAGAATAAATTAATACCTGCACCCCAGAGGTATTTTGCACCACCGCGTTTGTTCCAAGTGACCTTGCATTCTCTTTTTTGTTTTTCCTTGAAAGAAATAAGCTGTTGTTCACCTAAGGAATGATACCTGTATGCATAGTCAGGTTAACAGAAACTACACTCTACAGTTACGAATAGGAGGTAGTTTCTCAGAAGGCACAAAGCAATGTCCAGGTGGAAGACGACAGTAAGCAAGCATCTACCACAAACAGCAGACACAGCTTAACTACGGAACTTGGGCTTCGGTCATCTGCACTAATCGTAGATATAGCACACAAAGTATGTAAAGAACAGTATTTATGATAACAGAAGGACTAAATCCATTGGGAACCTGAGGGAAAATCCTGATCCCACTAAGTGGCATAAAACTATATGTTTTAGACCTAGACCAAGGTACACAGGTGAGTTGGACCAGGATTTACTCTTTACCACAGTTTTCCCAGCATCTGGGAAAAGCCAGTTATGCCTTCTGCATTTTGTCGTCCTTATCCAGAACAAATTTATGACCACCTTTGGGAGGGGTGTTTACATGTCCCAAATAAAAATTATACGCAATTTTACTGACAGCACAGAGCTTATTATTAATGCAAAATTCTACTAATTCACATCACCTTTAGGCACAGATTATATTATTTATGCAACACTGCTGAGAAACCTTTTAATAACAACATTCTGCCACCTTACCTTCCTATGCTTTGCCAACATAGCACCATCAGGCCCAAAGACAGTACATGTATTATACAGCTTTCCACCATCCTCTTCTGGAATGGATCCTTTGTAAAGGCGAGAACAAAGATTTCCCCCACTGTATTATATGGAATTTTGATCCAATGGCGCTAACAGACATTGCCCATTTTTTCCCTCAATGAGATGGTCACTAAGAGTAAACTACCTCCAACGAGATATATGCTGCACTCCTTTGCAACTTCTGAGAGCTTTTGTGTCGATTCCCCAGGGATCTTCTCTGCATACTCCTTGAAGTATTGGGTTCCATATGGAGAATTAAAGCATTCCTAGAATTAGAAGAAAAAAAAAAAATTATGTTAAAATCCAGTAACACCACTGGAAGAAGATGTACTTGACCTTTCAAACTCCTCTCTATCAATGTTCTCATACAATCTTTAGTTACAGGAGTCTAGTTTACAGGAGCTCAATAAGCAAATCAGAAAATATCAGGAGGCCAGAGAGACCTTAGCAATTAGAGAAAACGCAGTGGGTGTGTTGGTGTGAACGCGTGCCAAACAGAACACGAGCTAGGAGTATCATGCAAGCTGCAAGTAACAAGGCTAGCGCGTTTATCAGTCTAGACTTAGCAAGATCACAAGGGATGTTCTCATCAGAATAATGAACCAAGTTCCACCTAGCTCATTTGATGAGTTACAAGCTAAACAGATCCTCTCAAAACTGTGAAATGCTCGTGCTCGTCCAGAGCCCATGATTTCTTCATTTTTAAATGAAGAATTTTTAAATGAAGAAATGCTTGCAAAAGCATGCATTTCTCAAAATTACTTATTCTTTTGCTAAAACAATCCTTTAAACACCATTTCCTCACAACTGAACAGTGTTTTCTGTCCTAGGCTCTAGTTAAAGATTTGCTATCCCTCAGAACCAGGCATGTAATCTTTCGACAGTAAGATTAACAGAGCAGTTTAGATGCCTAAACTAGGTGGCTAGTGGTGTTTGAGATGCCCAAGATATCCAGAACTTTCACTCTGCATTATGTTTGCCAGCGCTGTGAGGATGTGAGACACCTCCCCCAACACTTTTTTGTCCCCTAAAGGAGTACAGCTGAAGGCCACAGATAGGCTATCAAACAGTACCAGCACCTACTCTTCAGCAAGCAATTCCCAGCCCAAGCATCTGCCTTGATTGTTACCTTTGCTCACCAGAAGCTGTAACAAGACCCCCCCAAAAAAAAGAAAAAAGAAAAAAAAAAAGAAAAAAAAAATCAAGTTGTGAATAGCGCAATAAACATTTATGCCTTAACTGCTCAAGCAAACTTCTTAACAACTGTAGTAGATTCTACTGAACTGGACTAACTGAACCAAAACTGGATGGATGGTTTTTGCCCTGTATACAGACACTGGGCCAGCAGGTGCCAGCTAACCCACAGCAGAATTTGTAGATGGAAGAGGTGGGAAGGGAAGTCTCCGCAGGCTGTCAAATGAGCTTCCCAGGCTTTTGAAAGTTGGACTGAACTTCAAGGAAATGAAAGCAATGCCAGATGCCTCCACCTTCATCTTGCGCTTGCAGTGTCAATGCGGGTGGTACTGAAACCATGGGCTCAAGAGAACAGGCAGAGCTCTGTGCAAGCTTGCAGCAGCAGTGCATGGGGCTGTTCATAAGTTGACGCTGGAACAAAACTGCGGACTGTGTGCACAGGTCACCTAGTCCTGTGCTCCCCAAAGTGGTAAGAATACAGAGACAGATCTTTGAATTGCTTTCTGTCAATTTCTAGATTCAAATGGATTCTGTTTTTATTTCTTTATCCATAAACATTACAAATTGTTTTTCTCTCACAAATTTTTCCTGGTTCAGAAATGAAAAAAAGTTTAATACATCAAGGCTAACATGTCACAGGAAAACTGCCATATGCCTCTGCAGAGGTGTAGATTATATAGTCAGTGCAAGTTACTTCTGTTCTTTATGTAGTGTGACTTCAAAAAAAAAAAAAATGCGGAGGGAAGAGAATATTTCATGCCCGTGTCCTAATGCCAGTACAAAATTTACCTCCCAGAAGTCTGTGAAAAACCTTGCCGTTGTTTGACAAGTTTTACTCTAAAAGCATAAATTATCATTGGCAAAGTGAGTATCTCAACTAAATAGGTCTGGAAAACTCGATGTTAGTACACGTGATGAAACTAGCAAATAATATATAATCTCAGTGTAGGAGGCCCAGCCAGAATAATCAAAGGTCACATTTGCAACACAAGAGCTGTGTTAGCACAGAGGAGCTGGGAAGGTTGCTTCATACTTCGCCTGTGACAGCAGGAGGGAAAACATTCTGCGTGTAAAACGGCCAGACCAAAAGTTCACCCAGAGAAGAACTTTGCACTCCTGAATCAGATGCTGCAGGGCACAGGGGTAACACACGTACCCCCAGGAAGAGCTCAAAGCTGCACTGGGAAGGTCACCTCGTTGCCAGCACACTCATCTGTGAAAATTCTGCAAGGTAGTCATGGCTGAAGTCCAAGAGGTAATCAGAAATGATCAGTAATTTTAAGCAGCTATTTATGTTCCCACACAGGGACATCACAAGAGAAATTTGTTTTAATCGTAATTCAGCCACAAATGACCTGCTGGAAACGTCTTAAGTCTATTTTGTTTCTCACGTACTATCTAATCTGGAATGATTATGGCAAAGAGAGTCATTGTATACCTGTTTTCTTTCATTTTCATATCAATATTCTTCAGCTGAAAATTGCCTTTTCCTACATTTCTAGCAAAGAAGGCTTCTGCAAAGATTCAAACCATGGAGTCACTTTCGTGAATTCAGAACATACCAGTGATAGAATTGCCTGGGATTTAAACCAGCAAAAAGTTAACCAGAATCTTATACCACAAAAAGAGACAACCTGCTTTTTTTTTTTTTTTTGCTTCTTGTTTCGCCCCCCTCTTAAGAGTGCTGGTAGACAGAACACCTGTTTTTTTTCCCTATTTTGGAGCGTCATACAGCACCTAATCTATCCAGAGAGAAACAGGAATATATAATGCATTAGTAACGCTAGAAAGAGGTTTCCAAGGGTTTGAGGTATAGGTTCTGAGTAGACCATGATCTTTACTCACAGGTAAAGCCACAACTTTTGCTCCTTTAGCTGATGCTTCTCTCACCAGTCCACAGGCTCGTTGAAGGTTATCTGATTTAACAGCAGATACATGAAGCTGAATAAGAGCCAGGCGGAAGTCTAATGGCAGAAAACAAAAAATCAGTCAGCAGAATTCCCCCAGGAGAAACTTCAAAATTTGAATTCACTAATGAGCATTTAACAAAATAAATTTGCTTATATATTAACATATACACAAACCACTTCCAACTCATTTTGCGGTCTGTCTGTGACTCTGGAAACAGTCTCTTAACACAGGGAGAACATCCAAACCTAGGCTTGCTAATGGGAACCGTACATCACCATCACTCTGCTCAGGTCAAAAAAAATCACAGAGTTCACATGCTAGTAGCACTTAGCCTAGGCAATACCCAGCCCAAGTTCTAATGTAAGATACCGTGTGACAGAAAGGGAGACCACTAGTTACCTAGACCTGCTTCTTCCTTCCCACTTTGCTACATGCTTTGTGAGCCTATCTTTTTGTTGCACCCATCACCTGATGAGCACTGCGTGTCCTAAAGTACTACTAGCAACCTGAAGGATTGGATAATCCCAGAAGCACAAAATATGGGAATAGTTTGCTTTTATCCCTCAAATCACACCTAGCCTGGGAAATGGCTATAAAAAACAATAAAGATAACACCTTTCCTGATCACTTCTTTGCAATTTGGTTTCTAGACAAGTGTCATCAACACTGTCTCTGCTGCAGCTAAGCAGGATTTATATTTGTAGGCTCTTAAAGTACACAAGTGGAAGAGATCAAGTCAAGTTTTGTGCACACCCCTTGGACTTCCTTCCATGAAGCTCCTAGTACCTTGGGCTGTAGGAAAATGTACCCTGATCAGGTAGAACTGTCTCCTCCTTAAAAAAAAAAAAAAAAAGTGCTCTGGCTTCATAAAGTACCCCAGTTTCGAAGCACCTCTCTTCTCTGGGAAACTCCCCTGTCATACAGTCAAAGATCACTACAGGATAAAGAAAAAGCTGCAGGCAACACAGCCTCAGTGGTCAGGGAAACGGGAAGAACTGATTCAAGTGAAGACGAGATCAGGTCAGGAACAGTCAGGCAGAATATCTTTCTTCCTACTTTAGTTCTCACTTCAGTAGCTAAGCAGACAATTTCTAGAGGTTGAGCAAATGATTAACTGCTCACTTTGCCACTCTTCATGCGAGAGACTTAATATTTGGTTTATGGAGTAAACAAAGCTTCACTGAGATTTTGAACAAATGTAACCACGGTTAGCTTCCAGACCCACCTAGATAACCGTACTAGGAATCGGACTAAAAGTTTCCCATATACATGGAATGTGCTTTAGCTCAGAGAAATTGGACGCTTAAAGATTTACATTTCAGCATAAATTCATTTTCGCAAAAAAACCAAAAGAGCATCTACTAGGAAAAATTTTAACTAACTTCCTTCTCATAATGTTTAAAACACCAGGAAACCATTAATCTTGTGTTCCCTGGGCCTCAGGTTTGGAGTTTGTTAAAGGGCAAAATTAAAGCTCAGAATACGTGTACTTGTGCCCACAGTTTTGTTTAAAAACAAGTAACAGAAATAGAGATAAACGTGCAACAGTGCTGTAGAGACCCTAGATCTCTTCTTCCAGCCTTCCTAAGCTGCCTCAAAAACTTCTTTAAAGGCAATTCTTAGGATAAGCCTATAGCAATGCAAACCACAACCAGGTAAAAGCATAGCAGAGTAAAATAATGGCTCGTATTTGTATGGCTACGAAGCATGTTTTTTTGGAAAACATCAGAAGCTAAGCACGTCTGGTTTGTTCAGATCAAATTTCTTGACGATCTGACCATTGCAGCGGTACGGGAGAGATGCACGGCAAGCGGTTTCTACCAGGCTGTTGCAAAGCGAGAGTGCCCAAGGCAGCTGCCCCTAGTACCTGCGGCAGTCCGCACCCCTCCAAAGGCTCAGCACCAGGACTGGGGCCTTTCCAGTCCGGACTAGGACTGGGGACTCCGGGGGACACCGGCCGGGGCAGCAGCCAGCCCACGGCCCGCCCCCGGGGGCCTCCCCCCCACCACATAAGCGGGCAAGGGAC